GTCCCTGAGTTTCCCCTCCTCACCTAATCCCTTTGGCTGATTGCTCTTCTCTTTGGCTTCCTGGGTTTTACCCCTTTCTCCTGCTCTCCCGGCCTGCTACTCTGTGCTATGCCCGTGCTTACCTTGCTCCCGGAGACCCGGTCCCTCTCAGCAGGGCTGGAGCATTAGGGTATAGATTTTAACACACCTAATGTAGTTTGTGCACATTGGACTTATGAAAGGACATTTAATAAATACTTGTTATGGGAGTACTTTCTGAAAGGAGTGGGGGCGTGTCAGGTATGGAATTTGGGTTGTCTGAATTTTGACTGAACAACAAACACGTTTGGTAAATTGTGTGTGTGTGTGTGTGTTTATTTACATGATCATCACCTGGTTTCACATCTTATGCCAATTATGGGTCTGTGGGAGCTAACTTATCTGTGGAGCACATAGCCTTGGTGAGATCCTATATTGCTCCTTGTGGACATCCGGAGTGCTGTGGGGAGGGCAAAGACAGATGCGTGAGGGAGGGGAACATCTCAGAATGATTCCTTGGGTAGGACGAGAAAGGCCACTTCTGACTAGCCGAGCTTGGTGAGGAGGTATTGTTCTGTGTTCATAGTGAGCCTCAACTCAGGTAGGGGTCATAGGTCTGAGGGTACTGAGTGCAAGGTACCTGTCTTAGCAACTCCTGACCCAGGATGTCTGGCAGAGGACCACACAGTTAACTGCCACACTGAGAAAGAAATAGCCTATTTACCCTTTTGATGGCGGTGAGGTCAGTTTCCGGGAGGCCCTGCAACACTGATATTTTCCAGATGTTTCTCTACTCTTTTCTCTAGCTGGTTATATCTTTCTCTCATCATCTTCTTTTTTTTTTTTTTTTCCCAGAGAAATGGAGATAAATTTTTGCTTAGAGTCTTAGGCCTGTTAGAATTACTCAGCAATATCTAGGCCTTCTCTGGTAGCATGGTGCCTAAGGCACTTGACTGTTAACCAGAAGGCTGGCAGTTCAAACTCACCACCACTTCTCGGAAGGAAGATTGGTCAATCTACTTCCATAGTGATACTGCCTCGGAAACCTAAGGAGGGTTCACTATGAGTCAGGTCTGACTCAACGGCACATAACAACAACAACAACAACATATTAGTAATAACCTTCACTGCTTGTGAATAGCATAAACACAATCTTTTTCTGTTCAAACCCAATAGTGATTTATACCGAAATAAAACCCAAATATCTTTTATGTGATGGTGACACTTCAGCTCAATTACTTTGGACATGTCGTCAAGAAAGACGAATGGCTAGAAAAGGACATCATGATTGGTTTAGGAAAAGAAAAAAAAACCAAATTGACTGCTGTCGACTTGGATCCGACTCATAGTAACCCCTCCTTGGGTTTCCAAGGCAGTATTACTACCGAAGTGGATCGCCCCATCTTCCTTCCAAGGCGTAGCTGATAAGTTTGAACCACCAGCCTTCTGGTTAGCAGTCAAATGCCTTAGGCACTATGCTACCAGAGCTCCCATGGTTGGTAAAGTAGGGGGTTAATGAATATGAGGGAAACCTTCAATGAGAGTGACACAATAGCTGCAACAGTGGAACTGAGGATCATCTAGATGTCATAGGACCATGCAGCATTTTGTTCTGTTATAGATAAGGTTGCTATGAGTTGGAGCCTACTTCAATAGTACCTATCAAGAACATCTTTTACAAAAGTTAACTTTTAGTGGTGCAGTGTTAATTGTCTGTTTCAACTCATACAGACCCCATGTGCAGAGTAGACTTGCCCTATAGGGTTTTCTTAGCTGAAATCTTTATGGAAGCAGATCACCAGGTCTCTCCCATGGAGCTGCTGGGTGGGTTCAAATCACCAACCTTTTGGTTAGCAGCTCAGGGCTTGATCATTTGGGTATAGTTGTTGTTGTTATGTGCCATTGAGTCGGACCCGACTCATAGTGACCCCTCCTTGGGTTTCTGAGGCAGTATCACTATGGAAGTAGATTGCCCCATCTTCCTTCTGAGGAGTGGCTGGTGG